TGAGCTGCAGCTTGTGCTGCAGCCAAAGCTGACATGCCCACCTGTAGGGGAGTATGGCCAGGTAGTGTCAGGCCAAGCCGTCAGGTGAGCCTTTCTGTATGTGCTACGAGAGTTTAAAGAGGCCTCCCCAAATAGCTGCCTTCTAAGCATTCTTCGATTTGCAGAACATGTAAAATCCCCTTCTTACTGCACCTGTAACCTCAGCTTCTTGGGAGGCTGCAGCAGGAGAATGGCAAGTTCAAGGCCAGCATGGGCAGCCCATTGAGAACCCGCTTCAAAACGGGAAGTACAAAGAGGGCTGGAGACAAAGCTTGGTGGCAGAGCGTTTATCCAACAAGTGCAAGGTCCGAGGCTCAACTCCTAGAACCACCAAAAACAACAAGCAAGCAAACAAAAAACCCTACAAACAATTCCATTCTGATTTTCTCACATCCTAATTGAGGTGCCTGCAGTGAGTTGCGCTACCATGTCTAAAGGGCCATGGAAAGATACTGACCAGCATTTCAGAGTGTGACAGGGCTAGAAACAGGCTTCTATTTGTATATGCAGTGGGAGTGAGGATGGCTCTGGGAAGTAGAGACATACAGCATGGGTTCATAGTCACTTGGTTCAGAGGCCAAGGTTCAGTGTGAGAGAGACCTGAGGACATTCCTATGACCACTATTCAGCCATCTTCAGTCTTCCTGCACCTAGAAGCTGCACTGGGTAGTGGGAGCTGATCTTACAGAGTATGTGGGATCTTGGTGTCCTCCAGCTTTTGCGTGGGTCCTTGGATGAGAGGGAGCAGGGTAGTCATTTTTATGGTTTCTTCCTGCCAGGTCTCTGTATGTTGGCTGTTGTTTGCCTTGGTAGCACAGCATATTGAGGGCCAACTGTTGCCAACAGCTGCTGCTCTGTCTCCCATCCTTCAGGTGGCAAAAGCAATCCAAACTCCTGACCCTCCTTGGCTTCAAAATCTCTGTCCTTACAACAGAGGTTTGTCACAAAGGTACCGGAACAGGGACAATTATCTGGACCAAAACCTAGAAGCTTTGTTCCTGGAGTTGTGCAGGGAACTTCCAAGTTGAATTCTACATAGGAAGAGGCTGCTGGGTGCCAGCCACAGCCATTCATCAGGCCAGGGATCATGAGGGGCAGACAGCAGAGGAAAATAGCCTTCCTAGGGAGCAAGTTACAGTAACATTTAACAGAAACCAACTCCAATTTCCTGCAGGCCTGCCGGCTTTAGACTGTCCTGCGTTTTTGAAAGGCAGGGCAGTCTGTAGTCTTCAGACACATGAGATGTCTCTTTTCCTAGAGAAGGCGAGGTGGACTTGAAAAACTAGAGACCAGGTAGTCGTAACAGCAGATGTAAATTCACGTGGACCATATTGGCTTTCTGGGTAATGGCTGACTCTGCTGGAGTTTGGATGGAACAGAGTGAGGCAGACGTAGCCCATAGGTCCAGCTCCACCATCTCATGATGTTAGTCAGGTTCAGGGACCACTCCAAGAAGCAGCAGAGGACTGTGGAGAAGGCACTGGATCTGAGTGTGGAGAACTGTAGAGCAGGATAAATCATGTAGGGTGGATGGAGATGAGGGGAGAATCCATGAGAGGCCTCAACTCTAGGCTTCACTGGTCCTCCCCACAGCTCATGTGTAGAAGGAAGAGAAGGCAATAGCGGGAGGAATGATGCTTGTGTTGAGCACAGCTGTACCCTCTCCTTTCTCCAAGCCTGATGATGGGCACAGACAAGATGGTGCAGGCTTGATTCTGCTTTTCCTAGTTGGGCTGCAGTCACGTAACATTGGGTTTCTAAGAGATTCCATGGCCAGCCCTATCTCTCTTCCTGGGCAGGAGTGAAGCCTACCTATCTCAGATCAGGTCTTGCCTACTGAAGACAAGACAGGGTATAAAGCTCATGCCATGGTGTAGACACGGTGTAGACATGGTGTAGAATGAGCATTGCTTGTTCTCTGGAAGGGCTACTGCTTGGGTTGTGATCTGGGAAGCAGTAACCTGATAGTCATTCAGTCACCATGAATGTTCTAAGGGAAGAGAGCAGCCTGGGTCTCTAGGAGCTGATGTGAAGCTGGCGGGATGGCCATAGTTTTCTCCCGCTGGGCAATACCATCTTACAGAGCACAGGGCAAGGCCACTTGGAGACCTTGTTAAGCAAAGCAAACGCAAGATCATGTGAAACTTAAGACACAAAAGTCCCCTTTCTTACAGATTACACAGTGGTGTTTGCTTCTTTGCCAGCCGCAGCTTCTCTTCCTTGAGCTGTCTTCCACAAATGAGACTTGCAGTGTCCACATGCAGAATAGCATTTTCCAGACCAAAGAGTCTGCTACCCTGCTGCCCTCTGACCATCAAACCCAATCACTCAAAAGGCCACTGAGCTGGATTTTCTAACCCTTACTGTTGCTCTTCTAACTTTCTGCCTAAGGGCTTTATTTGCAGTGAGATGCACTGAGAAAACCTTGCCCACTGTTGGGGTAATTCTGATAGGTCCTTAATTCACCCCTAGAGTGTCTTGGTGGTTTACATTAACCCTGAAGGAGGAGAATAGAGTCTGTCTTCCCTAGATCAGCCTTTGGGTCTTATAGATGGCAGCCAATCTTAGAGGGGATGGGAGGGGGCGGGGTGTCACTTGCTTCATGTACCATGGCCACAAACTGAATCTCTTCCTTGTTTGTGTAGCTGTGTGGCCCTGCTGACCAGCATTCAGTAGGCAGCAAAATAAGTATATAAATTCAGTGTGAGCTCACTGGTGCTCTCTGGTAAGTACACACACATTTTCCCATCCTTTTGGCTACCTGATGACTTCACTTGCAGAATGACATGAGGCCATTTGCGAAGGTCATGCTAGGCTGAAGGCCTGGAGCAGAGAGGGTAAGCCTTACATAGTGCCCCTGGATCGGGATTCCTTAAATGAAAGAGAGTATGAATCATGGGGAAAGAGCTAGCTTTTCAGCTTGTCTGAGAAGTGAGAAGTTTGGAAAGAAAGAGCAAATTCTCTCCCTCTATTTCTCATTCCTGCTTTCCTCCCCTGTCACCATCTCCTTCCTACTTTCCCAGTGATACAGGGCCTGTTCACTAGGATCCACTCAGAAGCTGCAGTTTGCAATGCCATTTATGAGGGATGGATAGTTCATCCTTCCTGTATTGTCCCAGGGACTGCCTGTGCTGGGTCTTGGTGTTAGAGCTCAAAGATGAGATGGCAACTTTAGGGGTGGGTAATGACAATGGGAGCTCCAAGTGTAGGAAGAGATCACCTACAAGAAGGAAAGTGACATGGAGTATAACCAGGTCAGGCCTGGAAAAACAGCCAAAGGCAGTGCTGGAGTTGATTCTATAGGAGAGATGGGGAGGAGGGTCTGTTAGGTAGTAGGAAGAGGTTGGGGTGAGCCTAGCTAGAACAGGAGCCTGACCCCATGGAAGCGCAGTGACTGTAATGCACCAATTTCACTGTTAACAAATCCCCTTACTTAACTTGCTTACTTCTGTACAGTAACACCCTTCTGCCACCCCTGATTGGCTTATGCGCTTGCAAGCACACTGCAGACACTGTACATCTCCCTAGCTATGCGATGCTGAGCCAAGCAGTACCACACTTCTTATTCAGGCTCCATGACCACCTCTGGACCTAGAGGTGTATGGAGAGGGTAAAACATGCACCTTACCACAAGCTTTTCTCTCTGATGGCTTATGATCGGGGATTCTTAACCAGTTGGGAGAATTCTGGGAAATGACAGATGCTTTAAGGGGAAGAGTTAGAAAGGAATCAAGCATCTGGGAAAGGATGTTTCCTTCCATGTTGATGCTCTTGTTGTACATTGACTGGGAGAGGGAACAAAGTGTGGCGATGAAGGAAATGGGTTATAAAGCAAACAAAGACCCACTGGTTGGTTTGCAGGAATGGCATCCAAATGGTGGAGGAGGAAGGACCAGGAGTTCAATACCACCCTTGGCAACATAGTGAGATCGAGATTCTGTCTTAAAACAACCAGACTGGGGGCTGGAGAGATGTCTCAGAGGTCAAGAACACTGACTACTCATGCAGAGGACCCGGGCACCTCACAAATGTCTCTAACTCCAAGATCTGACACACTCACACAAACATACGTGCAGGCAAAACACCAATGCACATAAAATAAAAAAAATTAAAAAAAAACATGCAGATTGAACCAACCAAATAACCCCTGTGCCTAGATGTTACGTAGGTCCCACGAAAGGGATTTGAACTCAAAATGGTGTGCACATTTTCAGTTCTGTCGATTATGATCATAGTTCTCATTTATATTCATATCCAGAAAGAGTGTGCTCTAAAATAAGAGAATAAAAATAATATATCTAGAAAACACGTTGTATGTAAACATGTTGTATTTTAAAATTGTAGGTGTATTAAGTGTGTTTTTCCTGCATGTATGTCTGTGCACCATGTGTGTGCAGTGTCCACAAAGGCTAGAAGAGGGTATCATCTCCCCTGGGACTGGAGTTGCAGGTGGTCATGAGTTGTCATGGAATTGAACCTGGGTCCTCTGGAAGAGCATAACTTAATGCTGAACCATATCTCCAGCCCCAAAGCATTTTTTTTTTTTTAAAAAAACAAGTGATTAACAACCATTCCGTATGAAGAACAGCTAATGATAAAGAATCCAGGATGAAATTGGACTCTGAGTCATACTTTTGCATTTCCTAGAATCTGCAGAACAGAGAGATGTGCCGGGGCTCATGCCCCTCAGAAAAGGCACTGAAAGCCCCTTTACCTCGGGCCATTGCACTTGAATCTCTGCTGTGCATAAGTACCGTGTGTGACGTGGAGAGGAGATGTCAGACATCATCCAATCCTGTTCCTTCCTCTTTTCAGGTTTGTAGGTGGAGATGAGAAGCAGGAGGACACAGGTGTCAGCGTGGGACTTTCTCTTCCCATGATGCTCAACAGCCAGTTAGATGGTTGACCCATTCCATTCTTCCCATGATGCTGATGTGTGACCCGTTTTACCATGGCTAAGATCAGATGAAAAAGCTCACCTCCTGGTTCTTCCTGTCCCTGCAGCTACAGTCCCTCTGGATAGACTCAGACTTGGGGGTGGATGTGAAGCAGGGCTCTCTCAGGCTCATCATTGGCAATGACCTCTGTATACTGACGTCCTTTGCAGGCCCCCTCCACTCCTCACACTCTGAACTCTCTGGGGCTCGTCCAAGGAGGCCTGTACTGGGGCAGAAGTTTCTGCCTGGAATGGGACTAATGTTGGCCATGGTAACAGGAAAGGGCTTTGTGACTGCCTGAGGCAAATCAGGCTGCACAGGCCTGCTTTCTCTCAATGTTCCCAAGTGGGATGCCCGCAGAGCCACTGGGCTGCCTTTTTGGTAAGAGGGCGTGGTCCTTTCCATGGTGGCACTGAAGTACAGTGTTGTGCTTGCCTGTCCTTCCTCGCCTTTCAGAGGCCCAACTGCATCCATCTCTTGAGCTTCAAGGTCAGCCTTGGGCCCATCCTTTGGGCTGTCTTCCTCCTGTGGAGCTGGTGGCTTCTGGGCAGTTGAATTGTCCTCATGCTCACTGGCAAAGGAGACAAAGCTTGAAGTTTCCAATGATTCCATCTCTGCTTTTGGAGCACCTGCATATGCAGAGCCTTTCTCCAAGGCCAAAGGGTCACAAGGAGAGGATGGGATGTCTTGCTGGGAAAACAGGGGCTTCCTCTGTAGATTACAGTGTTGATTCGACCCCAACACAGGGGGACAGGAGCAGCCAGGGCTGTTAACTCCAAGGGCTGCGTTGATCTTAGATACACTTCCTGTCTTGAGAGCAAGTTTCACCAACAGCCAGTGGTGATGGCTGTAGAAGGAGTACTCCCAGGATCTCTGGTCTCCCTGCCCCACCTCCGTTGTATTCTGCATTGGGCTGGAGGCCTTATCTAGACTGGTTAGCTCATAGCTTTCCTCTTGGCACCAGTTTGCGCTCTCTGGCCTCTCCCCTGCTGGAACCATGGCCCTGGGAGAAGGCTCTGATTCAGCTTTGTCATTCTCTATGGGGCCACAGCATTTCCTCAAGAAGTTCTGCTGGATGTCTGCGGATTTTGGATGTAGCAGGCTATAATAAATAACCAGTGAGACACTGCCTGAGAAAGAAAACATCAGAAAGGAGAGATGAGGTCATATTCTGGGACAGCCTATATCCTCCCAAGAGTGACAGTCTCAGTGGATTCTTTGAGTAGAATAATATAATTTCGACCTACAGCAAGACTCTGTGGAGACTAGACATAGTCCACGGGAGTTTTAAATAAGCCCCAGCATCTAACAGCTACAAATGTCTCTGAACCTAAAGAAATGTACAGCACGGCTTCGCTCCTGTTGAGCCTCAGCCTTCTTCCTGGAGGGCATCTGCCATTGACCACTCAAGCTATGTGTGACTATGTGCATGCGTATAAGCACCAGAGGAGGCATGGCAGCAACTGTGTGCATGCATGTGGGCACCTGTGTGCATGCATATGACACCAGAGGCATGGTGGCAACTGTGTGCACGGGTGTGAGCACCAGAGAAGCATGGCGACAATCTCATAACTTTCAGAATCCCACCAACGGCACAGTGTGGATGGATGCCAAAGCCGGGGGAGGCAGGAGGTAAGAAAGTGGCCTTAAAAACAAGAGCCGCAAGAAGCAGAGGTCAGTCCTGCTCCTCAAAAGCCCCTATCAAGGCATTTCCATGAGCAACAACACTTCCTTTGTGCACAAACATTTTAATCATGTTGTTGTCAGTTTCATTTATGTTGATCAGAAGTGTTGACTGCCGCAATAATCTCTTTAGCAGAGCATTCCAGTAAGCCACCCACGTTGTTTCCAGTTTCCTGTCACTCTGGAGAAAGTGCCTGGGTTAAGGGTGCTCGTTATAGATGCAGAAGATGTAAACTAAGTGTGAGGAGGTGGCTGAAGGCGCCAGCACATGGCAGGGTGACAGACCCTAGGAGGAACCCAGAGGATGCTGCCCTTAGCCCCTCTGTTTCCCCAGGGACAAGAGCAGGCTTAGGGCGGGACACTGGTTTGTGATAGGATTAGAAGTGGGGACAAGGACCTGCATGCCTGTGCACTCCTGTCATCTCTGTATTGGACACAGCTCACTTGCTAGTTTCTATACAAGGCCTTGGATTCGCCCTGAGCCCAAACAGTATGCAGTCACTCATCTTTTGCAGTAAGTCCCACCAAGGCCAAGAAAGAGCAAGTCAGCTGACCTATGCTACCCTATGTTCCTGGGACACCAGTTAGGTAGCAGGATCTGCTGCAGCCAGAGGCACTGAGAGCACTGATTTTCTGAGGGACCCTACTACCTGCTAGACTCGTGGCTTAGCTCCAGGCGGGCATGCAGTAGGCACTAAATGCATGTTTGTCCAGGGAAAGAAGGAAACAGGGAGCCTAGATTTGGGCAGGGACTGTTTCTCGGAACTGTAATTCTTTTAAAAATATTGTTTTATGTATATGTGTGGTCTCGCCTGCATGCATATCAGTGTAGTACATGCCTGCCTGATGCTCAAAGAGGCCATCCAATTCTAGACACTTATAAGCCTCCATGTATGTGCTGGGAATCAAACCCAGGTTATCTGGAAGAGTTGCCAGTTTTCTAACTACTGAGCAATCTTTCCAGCTTCTATAATTTTTCTTTTCTTCTCTTTCTATCTCTCCCTCTTTCCAACCCCCCCCCCCCGCCCTTTTAAAGTTCTTTCTTTGAGACAGGGTTTCTCTGTGTAGCCTTGGCTGTCCTGGAACTTGCTCTGTAGACCAGGCTGCCCTTGAACTCACAGAGATCTGCCTATCTCTGCCTCCCAAATGCTGAGATTAAAGGCATGCACCACTATCACCTGGCTTATATTTTTTCTTTTTAAAACTTACTTGTTTTCTTAAGACAAAGCCTTGATACATAGCTTTGGCTGGCCTCAAACTTGTGCTAATCCTGCTTGATCTAAGTAAGAATTGCAGGCATGAACCATCATATTTGGCTTATATAGTTAATAATTTTTTTGTTTTGTTTTTTTGAAACAGGATTTCTCTGTGTGGCCTTGTCTGTCCTGGAACTCATTCTGTAGACTGAGCTGGCTTCGAACTCAGAGATCCGCCTGCCTCTGCTTCCTAAGTGCTGGCACTAAAGGCATGCACCACCAAGGTCTGGCTATAGTTCATTTATAGTAGAATTGGGCATTGAACCCAGGGCTTCTTGAATGCTAAACAGTCAGTCTACCTGTGAGCTAATTCTCAGATTTTTTTTTTTTTTTTTTGAGACAGGGTTTCTCTGTATAGCTTTGGAGCCTATCCTGGCACTCGCTCTGGAGACCAGGCTGGCCTCGAACTCACAGAGATCCACCTGCCTCCTCCCAAGTGCTGGGATTAAAAGGGTGCACCACCAACACCTGGCAGTTTTTTTTTTTTTAATAGGGGTTTTCTATTTAGCTTAGGCTGGCCTCAAAGTCACTATGTAGGCCATGGTGGCTTTGAACTCCCATCAATGCTCTTGCCTCAGGCTCCCAAGCACTGAATTTATAGAAATGAACCATCATGTCTGACAATAGCATAATATGATGTGATTTTAAACATGTATCAAATATAATTTTCTATAATGCCTGGGTTTAAGGACTGACTTACAGTTTTATGGCTTCCGCTCTTTCTTTGGACATACACTCTTCCCTTCCTACTGGGGATTCCCAGAGGGCCAAGGAAAGCCAGAGAAGTGTCCAGCTCCACCTGCTGGACACATCTGGGCAAAGGAAAAGCATGACACAGCTCAGCCCCTTCTGAGATGAGGGGACTTCCTGCCTACTATGCTAACTGGAAGTGGTCATTTGGAAAACCCCAAATGAATGGCTAAGACTCTCATCTGTGAAGACCATCACATCATATCCCAAGGGAGCCCCTCTCCACAGGGAGATGACTGGGCATAGGCCAAGAGCACATGGGCCAATTTGTAGGTGGCAGAGTAACCCTCCCTGGACACTGGCTATCCCAGGCTTTCATCGGGCCATTCACATGCAGCTTAGAAATCAGCATCTTCTACTCAATTTATGGGCAGCATTTTGGACAGACGTGGCTGCTCTCAGCAGGCTCTCTGAAGTCACCCAGTTACACAAAGCTAAGCTCAGAATCTTAGGGGACAAACGACAGCCTCCTTACCCACAGCCTGGGACCGATCCCCTACTCACTGCTCCTACACTGTTCCCTGTCTTCCCAGCCCATTTGAAAAATACAAGTTGTAGCCAAGCAGTGGCGGTGCACACCTCTAATCCCAGCACTCAGCGGGTAGAGGCAGGTGGATCTCTGAGTTCTGAGTTCCATGACAGCCTGTTCCGTGACAGACAGAGAAACCCTGTCTTGAAAAACTGACCAACTAACCAAACAAACAAAAAAGCAAATTGTGTCTGAGGAGACAGCTCAGTGGCTTGAACACTTGCTACATAAGTGTGAGTGCTTGGGGATCTACATAAAAGCTGGTCAGTGATGGCAGCTGCCTGTAATCCCAGCACTTGGAGGCAGAGACAGGGGAATGCCCAGGGCAAGCTGGCTAGCTAGACTATCAGGAATTAGTGAGCTCTAGGTTCAGTGAGAGACCCTGACTCAACAAGTTGTTAAGGAAGATACCTAGGATCAACTTCAGGACTTCACATGCCTGCGTATCTGCACACATACCACACACATGCATCCCCACACAGGTGAACATGTGCACAAACATGCATATATACCACACACGCAAACTCATGAAAACAAATAAAGAATAAAAATGAAATACAAATACAAGTGGGGGAGGAAGCATGGCCAAGAAAGCTCATCAGATCTTACCAATGAGAAATCCAGACAAGACCCCCGCCACAGTCCAGAGGCTGGCCCATGGTGCCCTCTGCAGAAAGTCAGTGGCCAATAGTAAGAGGATGGAGTTCTCCAGCAGCATGACCTGTGGGGACAAGAGAGAGTCACCATACCTGGGCCACATAGCTCCATGTTCTCCTACCTGAAGCTCCTCCCTTCTGTCTTTGGTATCTGCTGGGGTTCACAAACCAAGCAGGACCTTTCCCAGTGGGAATGTTTCTACAAATGGAGGTTTGCTGGTGTGGTTCATGACAACATCCACAGAACCACAGACACAAAGGTGAGAATAACAGATGCCAGTCCAGGTTCTAACAGCTCAGCCATATCCCCAGGATCTGACAGCAGCCCCTTGAACTTCTGCCTGAGAGTTCAAAGCTGCCAGGAAGAATCGCTGCCTGTTCTAGGCAAGACATGATGAGAGAGAACTAGAGCCCCCACCTCTTACAGCAGACATACCAGAAAGCGCTGTGAATTCCTCCTCTGTCCTTTCAGATTCAATGAGTCTCCCACCCCACCCTCACCTTAAGGATTTGAGAACATCTTTTTGAATGTTGAGAGAGGTCACTGTCAGATGCTCTCTCTCTCTTAAATTATTATATATACAGTGTTCTGCCTGCATGTATGCCTGCGGGCCAGAAGAGGGCACCAGATCTCATTACAGATGGTTGTGAGCCATCAAGTGGTTGCTGAGAATTGAACTCAGGACCTCAGAAAGAACAGCCAATGCTCTTAACCTCTGAGCCATCTCTCCAGCCCAGAGCACTTTGTTCTCTAACTCAAGTGGCCCCTCTATCCTTCCATTTATAAGGACACTAGTCATGTGTTCCTGCTCTTGACAACTCCAGTTAACACACCAGATGGGACAGTCACTAACTACCTCCCTTATTTCCTACACATTTCCATTTCTCTTACTCGACCCAAGGCCCCACACTCCTCTCCCCTCTAATCTCTCCTTTTCCTTCTAAAAATTCCCAACACCTTTGCACAAATCAGATTTCAATTCTATCACTCCAGACCAGAGGCTGTCTTTACCTTTCACTGTGCTCTGGCCTTGTCTCTCTGGCAGCACCACACGGACTCCTTAGTACTCTGTGGTCCTTATGATACCTCAGTAGCTTTGCCTAAGATGGCCTGACTCCTCCAAGCCTCTCTTCAGGCAGACTTCTCTTGCTTTTCTGCTGCCAGATCCATTGTCACCTTTGCAAAGTCTTCCCTGGCTACCGAGCCTTTGTCCTCACCTGGCCCTTGTGTTTCTCTGGGACAACGCTGGGTGCATTGCTTTGTACATCTGTAGCTACAGAGAGCTGGCTTTCTGACACCAGCCTGGAGTTCATTTCTACTGTATTTTAGGTGTGTGCATGATGAGATGAATAAGCCCCTCATGGGTGAAGCCACACTTTCCAGGGCTGTCCCACCTCTGAGAAAGGAGAGTGTGAGCCTAGGCATGCAGCTTCCAAAGGAGGTGGACTGGCAATGCTGCCCAAGGCTATCTCCAAAACAAGAATTCCCAAGCTTCATGGGGGAAGGGCCTGGGAATCTCTACTTTGGAAAAGTCCCCAAGTGCATCTGCCAACCATCTGTTGAGTTGGCTGCACCTGACGCTCCTGGTGATATGGCAACAGTTGGATGTCAGGCTATTTTCACCGTGTGTAAACACTGTTTACAATTTCTCCTGATGCTAGGCTATTCCTGTGTGTGTGTGTGTGTGTGTGTGTGTGTGTGTGTGTGTGTGTGTGTTTGTGGTGCACTCACGGCACACACACATACACAGTGTGCAGGCATGTGGAAGGTAGAGGAGGAGATCTAATGTCTTCCACTATCACTCTTCCTTATTGTCCGAGACAGGGTCTCTCACAAAAGGAAGCTTGACATTTTGGCAAGGCTGTCTAATAAGGTCTAGGGGTCTGCCTGTGTCTGCCCCCCATGGCCCCAGTGCTGAGGTCTCAGGCATTTGGTTGCTGGGGATTTGAACTCAGGTCTATATGCATGCATAGTAAGTACTCTTACCCACTAAGCTGATTTCCCAGCCCCTGAAATTCCTTCTTTAATGGATGGACAGGCACACACATGCGTGTGTGCATCTCCCTACCTAACATGCTATAGGTAATGTAAAAGTCAGACATAAAGAAAACCATCACTGCCACTTGCCAAGTAGAAGCTGGCCATCCTGCTTCTGGAAGGGCTGTCCCAGAAATTGATGTAGCAGAGGATGTACACGGCCCCCACCAGCAAGTTGAAGAGCCTCCAGTGGCAGGTGCTCTCCACAATGTCGCTCTGCTGGGCTACAAGCCAGAAGGTCATCACCAGCCAGTGAGCACCTGGAGAGGGTGAGGGGTGGAAGTTGATGTTCAGTGAGGAGATGGGAACGTGGCGAGGTTGAAATTGAACATCCCACAAGAGACCTCCCCAAAGCCAGAAGAGAACCGAGGGGCACAGTCAAGCCACTCATTCCATTTTTGCATGTCTGTCCCGCTGAGCTTCACAGGGGGCATTTAACCTAGTTCGGAGGTGAGAAAACAGACTTGCTTCAGTGACATGCATCAGGCCTTAGATATGGACACCCTTTTGCTTCCAGAAAATATTTAAGATGCAGTTATAAAACCATCTCCTCTCTTTACCTTGTTGCTCTATGAGCCCCAACCCTCCAGACCCAAAGAGAACTCCATGTGGACTAGCTACAAGTTCTATTCTTATATTTTAAGATGAATAGACTCATTCTGGAGCGCAAGCTGAATTTTAAAATAATGAATAAAATGTAGTTAATTTCTCTGTAAGAACACAACTTTTTCTTTTCCAAAAAATGTTCTTTTCTGCCAATAATTGTATTAAATGTTTGCTCAGGGTACATGGGCCAGCTATTTCTCAATGTTCTCGGTTCTCTTAAAACAAGAGTACACTGTTCCCTCTTGCAGAGTGTATTCACTGATGACCAGAGGACACTGCTGTCCTTGGCAAGGACACACAGGCCCCATTCAGGAGTCTGAAGGGCTAGACAGACTCTAGGTCATCACATTCATATCTGTGCTGATGGCTAAGAGAAGGCTGGGGTTCAGTGGGGACTTCCTGTTTTAAACAAAGTGTCCAAAATAAAAAATAAAAAAAAGAAAACCAAAGGAAACTGTGCTGTTGGAGGCACTAAGCGGTATATGTATACTACACAGTCTTTTGCATGATCAGGTGGAACCTGGACCTCCCTCCTGTGTGAGCAGCAACTTCCTACACGAAAGCGTGTGATCTACAACAGTCTTCTGAGGACTGTGGTTTCCAGCTTCAGTTGGAACTTTTGAGGATGGGATTTCTATGGTGGTGTCTCCAAAGAGCTAGAGTGCACCACTACTCCTTGCACTGGAGGCACACTCTTGGGATCTAGGGTCTGGACCTCCACGTTTATGGGTCTGAGCTACCAAGGACTGTTTGACTGACGCATAGCAGAAGCCATACTGTGGGCGTTCTAGGTTTAAGAGGACTGGACTTTATAATTCCTGTTTTTTGGAATTGTCAGTACCAAGGATGAGTCCAGGTTACTCTGCTGAAAAGAGAGGTCACACCCGTGCCTCCAGTCTGCTGAGGTCTCCTGGGAACACAGAGACCTGCTTTTCTACTGTCTCCATAAGATCATCTGCTGAACGCAGCTAATCACAGATCCAAGACAGAGGAAGGTGAACCATTACTATTACGGTTTTATGAACAGAAGAGAAGCCCCACTTACCTCCAACCACCAAAACCCAAACCCGGTAAACTCTGCAGAACAGAACGAGGCTCAGCACACGGGCTCCCAGCATGCCCATCCGCCACAGCTGCTGGCACAAGAGAGCAGCCCATAACATCGCTCGGTGGCCTGGCTTCATGACGCCCAGGAATTGGTTGTATGACACAAGGGCCCAGGACAGTGAAGACCAGGAAAGTAGGGCACTGATCCCTGGGGGATTGAACAGACAGAGATTCCCTACAGGCTCTGAAGAACACATGGGGATGCCCTTCCCCATCCCTTTCTGAAAACAATAAATTTCATATATATAAAACTAGCCCAATGGTGATGTACTATTGACCAAGCCCCTTGGTGGTGGGTGACTTAACAATGGTGTGTAAGCACACATTTACATGGAAACAAAGAGGTGGGGCAAGAAATGGCTCCACTGCCCAGTGCCCTAGATACTCGTCTTTAAAAATATCCCAGACCCTGGGCTTCTAAGGCCTCTAACTTAAACTGTGATTAAAAGGATGTGGGTCCTATAGCATCCCAGACATGGGACATGACAAGTATTGGCTACACATGAAGGAGTTTGGATGAAGAGAATGGTGGAATGAGTAGCCACACCTTCCGTTTTAAGTTTGGACACTTAAATAGAGGGCAGAGGGAGGAAGGTGGGTAGGGGCAGGGAAAGGAGAAAGTAATGAGGTGCCCTGGCTGGAATGGAAGCTGAACAAGAGGCTGAGCTATGCTTTCTGTGGGGTGTCAGGTGTCAGGTCTACTGCCACAGGGTAACTGCAGGAGAGGTGGACATGTGGCCTCCCAGAGAAGTAGACTTCCCAAGGGAATTTTTCAAGGTTATCTCCTCTCTGCACAACTTTTGTCTTAAGGAGTGACTTTAGATACCTGCAAGAAACCAGCTTTCTGTGACCTTCTGACCCCGTGCAAAAGCCACTTGTAACCACCATTTGTGTTAGTGATTGTTGCTTTCCCTGGTCTCCCAAATAGGAGAAATCTTAGAGGGGACACCAGGTGCTACAAGGTCAGGCACATGTTCCTGTCACTTGGGAAGCAGCTGGTGAGTCATGGTGAAGGTTACCCACCTGGCACAGTATCTGTGAAGCCAGAGTCTAGGAACACATACACCTGAAGCAGCAGATGGGGCCCCGTCTGGAGCAGAGCTTCCAGGAGCCTGAGGGCTGACAGGTCAACCTCCTGCAGATACAGCTGTCCCCAGCAGGGAGCCTCCCTTCCCTTCCACAGGGCAGCTGCCAGTGAGTCCCAGTGCCTACAGAGAGCAAAGGCATTATGACAGACCATGAAGCCAAGTGTGCAGGCTTCTACAGACACCAACCTTTCACATGGACATATGAGGTATTCAAAAGCATGTCCTCAGTACCCACTGATGCCTCTTAGGGCCACCAGTTATGTGGCTGCTGAGTTTTGAGTTCAAGCTGTGTATTTCAGTTCAAACTTCATGTGCTCAGCAGGGTGTCACTGTAGGTGACTGTCCCCAAGGTTAGAAGGGCTGGGGGCAGAGGTAGGCTGAAGTTACTGCCAGGTTAAGGCTGGGCCTGGTGAGCTTGCAGGGAATATACTCTGCGAGAGGGTACAGACCAGAGGACACTGCTGTCCTTGGCAAGGACACACAGGCCCCATTCAGGCGTCTGAAAGGCTAGGTAGACTCTTGGTCCACACATTTATACATATCTGTGCTGCTGGCTAAGAGAAGGCTGGGGTTCAGTGGGGACTTCCTTGCCTTTACCTGCAACATTTTAAACATTGAATCTGCACCTATCTGTGTCAAGCTGGTCTTATATGCCCTTAAAGTTTGTCTTAAGTTTCTACTTCACTAAAGAAAAATTGCTATGCCAAAATGCACGTTGAGGAGAATTATTTAGGTAGTCTCCCTATGCAGGCTTTTAAAAAGGTGAAGGAGATGCAAATATACACAGTATTAGAGTGGAAACAAAATGTTCAGATGGAAAAAAATCGTGTAAAATGAATTGTAGATAATGTCAGGTTCTCTTGAACAGTAAAGTAGACTGAACATTATAGTTTGTGTTGTTTGGAATTAAAATCAAATCCGTTTATGTCTTCAGCCCTTGAATTCTTTATAAGCAGTTTTACCTTAAAGGGGTTTGTGTTTAATTGGTTTTTCTGTTGTTAGTTCATTTGTCTGCATTTCATTAAGGAGTCAGTTAGTAGGCGGGGCTTCATTTTATAATGTTCAAGATTGTGCAAAACATAGCTGTTCTGGCTCCCCCTTCAGGTGCCTTTGCCAAACTGCAATGTAAACTAAACAAAACTTTATCTGCATGGCTTATCTCCTGTTTTGTTTAGGAGAGGCTGTATCAGTGAGAGATTCCCCCACTTTCTACTTCTCAGTGTTGTCTGCTGAGGAGGTAGACTGTAGCTGGTGTCATCTGCAATCTCTGGGACACTGTGGAGGAGGCTTCCGTTATGCTTTTTCTAGCTGCCAGGAAGTAGAGCCAATCTGAGGTCCAGTTCTAAAAACTGCCCTTTGTGCATTTACCTCCAGATGAATTACTTTACCTCTTCCTGGAAATCAATATTTATTTTTCCTTAATTTTCTTGTGAAGATTTATTTTTATTTATGTGTGTGTGAGCCCCCCCCTCTGTGTGTGTGTGTGTGTGTGTGTGTGTGTGTGTGTGTGTGTACACTTGCACGTGCACACCCATCTGCACCTGTGGAGGCCAGAAGAGGGCATTGGATTCCCTGGGGCAGGAGTTAGAGGCAGTCAAAGCTGCCTCATGTGAATTCTGGGTGTTTAAGAGTAGTATGTGCTGTCTACCCTGAGCCTCTCTCTACCTCCTATAGTATTATTTTGTTTTGTTTTTGTTTTTCAAGACAGGGTTTCTCTGTGGCTTTGGAGGCTGTCCTAGAACTAGCTCTTGTAGACTAGGCTGGTCTTGAATTCACAGAGATCCGTCTGCTTCTGCCTCCCGAGTGCTGGGATTAAAGGCATGTGCCACCGCCGCCCAGCTTATTATTATTTTGAGATAGGGTTTCACTCTGTAGCTCAGGCTGGCTTGGAACTCATGATATAGTCCAGGCTGGCTTCTATCCCACAGAGATCTGACTAGCTTTTCATCATAAAGGCTGGGATTAAAGGCTTGTGTCACCACACCAGGCTCTATACATTATTTTTAATTACCTGAAAGGCTTTTCTAAATTAGCTATACATGACTTTGTTTCTCTCTGTTTTCCCCGTTTTTGATTTACACTTGCCTTTTCATTTACCTATGCTAATTTTTAAGTATGTGCCGGAAACCATACCATCACTCAGTGGTGATGTTGAGAGCTCAGGGGAGTTCACAGATCTGGACCAGCCTCCAGCCTTCAGCCTCCCTTTTCTGAAGGTTGACAAGGGTCCCCAAAGTCACTACAGAGCCCCAGAAGGCAGGTTTACCTGAGAGTAGTTAAGAATGCTTTCTGAAGTCTACTCTGAATTTTGTTTTTTAACAATCAAATTCTTGTTTATGTTGAAGCTACTCCACTTGTTTGAGGAGCCTTTGTCTTGGAGGTCTCACCCTGTACAGCTAGCTACCTGACCAGCAGTGAGCCCTCTGGCCTTCCTACAAGGCTACGCAAAGGAGGGAGTAGATAGCGGGCTGTGCTCTGAGAAGGCTGCCATCCTACGTTCTATGAGATAACCTACTCCCCCTCACTAGTGTCAGCTCTGCTGTTTCAGGAGGACACTGAGCTCAGACAGGAAGGCCCAGTTTGGGAAAAAGCACTGTGGCACATGTGTGTTCTTGAGGCCTCTATATAACAAGGGCCTGCGGGGGAGGAACATGAAGAGGAGGCAGTCACCTGATGCCTCTCTAGGAGCACCTTCTAGTCTGACTCAAGTCCAGCCTGGGTGGAGACAGAAGGCACAAAGCTCCCAGGACAGAGAGCAGCAGGTGGCAATGACTCCTTGGATGTCCTTCAAGCCTTGGTCATCTGACATTTAATAAACACTTGAGCTCCAGGATTCACCTGTCTGGTTCCTTATTGCTTCCCCGTTTATGAGAGTCCCTCAGCTCTCCAGATGATGAGGCAGCTGAGAACAGAAATGTGCCGTGTCTGTAAACGCACAGCTTCCCCCCCTCTAGGTGGAAATAACACTACACTTGACCTCGGGAGACACCTGTGGGCACAGAGAAGCCACCTGGACCAGATCTATACCTGGCAACCTTTCATACAAAGAAAAGAAAAACAACCGAAAACCCCTGGCCCTAACTCCTAGGTCACTTCTTCCTGCCACAAAAGCCTAAAGCAAATGCCATTACGTGGGCTTTGCCAACTGGCTTGTGGTTAGTTAAGTCTGTGCCACTGTCATGGACTAAGGTAGTAGGGGTCAGCTGGAACACTTTGAGCAAACTGACTTAAGTGGCTCCAGAGGTTGATTAAGGGGTTGAAACATCAGTGATGTAGAATCCGGCAAAAGACAAGAACGAGCATTCAAAAGGTCACTGGTACAGTCAGGAGGAACCCCTGATGTTAGAGATGCTTTAGGATGCCAATGCCAAAGAGAGATGGCCCTGAGATGGCTTTAAGGTCGGAGTGTGTGTGTACAGGGGAATATTCCATCACATCAGATGGAAGAGAGAGGGCTGTTCTTACCGCTTCCAGACACCAAGCTGCAGCAGATGCAGTAACACCAGCCACCAAGGACCCCGATGCCCATCTGCTTGGAACCACAGATAGCTCAGGGCCTGGACCAAGAAGCCGGGCAGGAGGACAGAAAGGGCCAGCCATGCCCAGAGGAGATGGCCTGTGGCAAAGTAGTAAACAATGGTGCAGAGACCTGAGGTGAGAGACAAGATGAGGGGGTTGAAAGGGCAGAGTTAGGCAACTGCTGTATAAATACCTGTTCTCTGTTACAGTGCTCTAATACCCTGAACACCTCTCTACCACAGACAGTACAGTGTTCTTCCAAGAACGTGCCAGGGATATGCACACTAGCCAATGCCCATGCACCCCGGGAGATGGTACTTAACTGCCTTAACCAGTCCAGGGTCAGGGGCCACATGAATAGGGACCTTCCTTTAGCCCAGAGCCCACAGTAACTACCCACAGAGACCAAGTTCTCCGACTCTGTTCAACCTGGTCAACCTGTCTTGTCTGGGGAAACCCCGACAGGGGTTTGATCAGGGAATCAAATTTGATCAGGGAATCCTGATCAAATGACTATTCCCATATGGCCCCACATGCTCTGCTTCTATACCCCTGGGACCTGTGAGATTTCCTAGGCCTGTCCAGTCTCCTTGTCCACTAGGCCATTTAACAAAACAAACAAAAACCAACAGCAACAACAAACCAAAAAACCACCACCACCACCACTAACAATAAAACAAATCAAATCATGTTCCAAACCAACCTAATAGAACATCCTTACCATTATTGAAGAGCCAGCAGGGCCTGCTAGGAATAAGACAGGCACAAGGGTAGTGGTATGTGTGTGGGGTTACACAGAACATGTGCCAAGTACCTGATGGCTAGTATGTGCTCAAACAGGTGAACCTTCTCCTAGGGGAGGCCCAGTGATATGGGGACCAACGATATGGAGTGATCTCACCCTCACCACATTGTTGCTACCTACCAGCTGCTTGTGCTGGACTTCAGTCACATTTTGAAGCTGACTTAGTCCTTTGATTTGTGGTCCTAGGAATTGAACTATGCCTCCACCACTGAGATATCCCCCAATCCACTTTTAGTTTTTGTTTTGAGACAATGTTCTGCTAAGTTGCTCAGGCCAGCTTTGACCTCTTTCTGTAGCCTACTTGGGTCTAGAACTCATGTCCACCCACCCTAACCCTCTCCAATGGCTTAGATTACAGATTTGGGCTATCCTGCCAGGCTCTGGCCATACATGGACATCTGCAAGAAACGGTGTTGGTACTACTAATTACTGAGCGGTGACAGTGGAGGGCACTCAGCCATCTTTTCATGCTACTGCTGTCAGAGTTTTTCAGTATTAACAAGGAATGTGGATCTGCAGGCACAGCTGGGAACCTGGTGACTATGGGCAGAGGGATTGCCGCCATTCCTTCCTCAGCCTCAGATTCTGTCTCGTGCCCTAACTCCATGAGCTTCATGCTAAAACATTCAACCCTTCCCTGTTAGAAAGCGAGAGTGCCTAGGTCACTTTGGGCCGCAGTGTGCATCCCGGTCTTTCTAGGGTCCAGTCTAGCGCCCTTTGGAATTCTGAGCGGGTGACAGGGGCAGGAATCTGTAGGAACTACGTTGCAAACTAAAGGTAAATTTCAGAGGTATAGTGTCCAAGAGGGGACGCGGAACCTTGGAGGTTCGGGATGGTGGAGTTTCCTCGGGAACAAGGCCTTGTAGGAGAGTGGCGGAAGTGGGCGGAGGCACTTTATACCAGCACCGAAAGGGTTACAAGTTCAAACGTGAAAGGCGCGAAAACTATGGCCATCTTGCTTCACCTCCACCGCCCACAGGACCCGTGTCCCCAGCAGCCAGCGTTCTGCCGTGTCCCAAACCGCAAAAGGGAATCAGTGCCCTTTAGGATCCCACCCTTCCACTCTCCCAGCCCTCGGCTCCCATGCGGCCACCCTAGCCAGGAGCCCGGGTGTCCAGGGAGCCAGGGCACCTCACCAAGCGCTGGCACTCCACTCAGCCTCCTCGCGCAGCTCTCTGAAGAGCGCGGGCTGGAGCGAGTAGCGGGCAAGGATTCAGGACCCCGGGTTTGGGGTGTGGAGAGGATCCATATCATGCATGGAGGGATGTCTGCATGGGTGGAGGGAATCATGCATCAGTGAGGGGATCGCGCCGGGAATGCTCTGCAGGCTGGGAGGGGAGCTACTGTGCGTGCCCCGGGCGTGCAGTGTTTGCCGCCTGCCAGGACAGCAGTGGCAGATGCGCCCCGCACACTGGGATGGAGTGGGATGTTGGAGGGGTGAGCACTCGCGGGCTGCGCCGCACTCACGCGCGCTTTGCTCGGCCGCCTGCAGCAGGGCAGAGAGCCCCAGGAGCCCCGCGAACATCTTCTGCGCCGCTGCCGCCTGTGCCCGCCCCTTCCCCTGCCCGCGCCCGCGCAGGGGCG